GAGATAGTTTGGAGGCCTACATGGCCAATCAAAGTTCCTTTAATTGACGTTTCTGGTTTGACGAAAACTTTGTAAACAATTTTCAAATTTTTTGTACGCGCCAAACCGGCTATTTTTGTCGTAGGGCGAACAGGGCCAAAGGCATCTATTGTTCATAAATAAAGAATTCCGGATTAGCAGGTTTCTCTCTTCTTGTAATAGCGAAATAGCCGAGTAGATGGTCAAGACAAAAGTAAACCCATACGACGTTGATCACTCCAACAACAATTACGACGACGACAACGACAAAACTTACAGCAGCACTAAAATATACGCCCCATTCTAAACGAAGCTAAAACACATGTAAAAGGTGTTTAGGTTTCTGTTTCAAACTTTCCTTTATCATGTTTTTCTCGTTGGGATACGAAAAGATTCCAAGGGAAGAGGCCAGTGCGGCTGCTCTTTTTCCCGCCGTATCCAAGTTTTTCTCCTCCTCGCCCTATTCACAGGGGCCCATGTGAACGCTGCCTGTATCTGCGAGGTTTCGCCCACTTTTTCACGGTCACTTCGCTTCTTCGTTGGATACTTACTACAAGGATAAATGTGGCCCAGAATTCCGCGGTGGCTTCTCTCATTAAAGGGGACAAGCGGAAACCCTTGGCCTTGGCAAAGAACTCTTTGCGCTACAAAAGGAATAAATGGAGTTAAAAACTAATAATCTGTTCCATTATGACATGGTCTGGTTAATTGTGACACGGTTAAATCACTTATAGAAGATTTTTTTGAAATTATAGGGAGATGAAATTCGAGTTGTTTTACCCCTAAATTCCCTTCGATTCAAGAAGTTGGCTAACACATAAATAAACCTTAACAATACTATTGATGTCATGATGACGTCATTTATTATTAAGAAAGGAATTGAAACCATCCGCATTCTTGTACCCGCCATATTGAATAAAGTAAATGTATTCCATTTTGCTAAAAATAAGTACAAAACGAGGTAGGTAGGAAATTTGATGTGATTCCGTAAAACAATAATAATGGAGTAAAAAAATCTACAAGTTATGAAATTCCGAGAGAAATAAACAGTGGTGAAAATTAAACCCAGTGTCTGCCATTTGGTCATATCAAACTCATGTTTAATTTGTTCGTTTGTTTGTTTGTTTGTTTTTTCTTAAGTTAGTCGCTTAAAAGCCTGGATTTCATTTCCAGTTATAAGAATAATAATAATAATAAATCAGTACGGTAATAATGATAAGTCAATAAGTAAAAATAAAAATATATTTTGGGGGAAAAAATGCAGTTTTTGAAAAACATGGCTGTTTACTTTCCACGTCACGCAATCTCTCTTAAGCGCTTCTTTCTTATTAAGTAGATTAAAATGGTAAAGAGGTGATATTTTTAATGGAATGGTATACTCAAAACTATTCTGATAAATTTCAAAATAAAAAACTACAAAATCGTGCAGCCCGGGTCCAAACCTTCTAGAATTATGATGCCGACGCATCACAACTAATGGATAACCTAAACTGGAAAAATCTTAGCACCCATCATGACATTTAAAAAGCCTTGAAGGTTTTCAAATCCCGAGTATTGAAGTTTTTTCATTAGTCGATCTGATACAACCCCTTATACTTTTCGAGATTCTGTAAATGAATTAACTATTCCATTACATTGCCACGCACAAATTATCGACGAAATAGTTTCCGCTACAGTGGTGCTGTTATTTGGAATAGTCTTCCTTAACCCCATTCAGATCGGGGGGGAGCTTTTAAGGCCCCCCTTCGCTAAAAAGTTGAATAACTTCAAAACAGTTCAAGCTAGGACCACCAAACTTAGCGGACTTTTCCTGAAATTTAACTGTGAACATTTTGATGTCGCCGTGACGAGTACGTCAAAATTGATGTTACCATGGCAACCGAGTTTTTCCAAATTTGCATTTTCTCTAATAAATAGGTGTTATTTCTATTTTTATTGACTGAATTATTACATTAAACTTAATTTAGCATTATTTCATCAAAGTTATTATAACTTTTAATGAAATCCAGGCCTTTTAATGGCTAGTTTGAGAGAAAAACATGAGTTTAATATGACCAAATGGCAGATGCTGAGTTAAATTTTTAACGGTGTTTATTTCTCATAGAATTTATATACAGATTAAGATTAAGTTTTCTGTTAAAAAATACCTCGATTTAGTTTTAAGTAAAATGGATTGGATTTAAATAATTCAAATTAGCTAATCCAAGATGGCGAATGCTTCCAGTTCCTTTTTTAGTAATAATGACGTCATCATACCATCACTGCTATTGTTAAAGATCATTTATTGTTCGCCAACTTCCTTGTTTTATCAGATTATCAGAGACCTTACTATTTAGGTATTTAATGTCTACTTTGAGGGAAATTTGGACTCTGTCAGTAAATTCAACACTGTGACGTAGTAATGACTTCAGACAACGTCATTGTGTCAATCAGGTTATGCCCAGAAGTTGGAAATGATGAGTCCATTGTTGTGTGTAATTTTGGTAGCCATAGGATGAGCGGTTTTGAAGTTTTAGAGGGGGGGCCTCCGAACCCCCTCCCGCCGGTGCGCAGGAAGCAAAAAAAGACCTGTCGGAATAGGCAGGCAGAATCTCTGACAAAATATGTTCAAGAAACTTTTGAACGATTACTATACCAATAACTAGAAGCACGGCATTCATGTAAAACAGGTTTTTTAGCTTTCGTTTTGGTGTGTTAATGATAATAATGTAATTATGATTTAGATTCTGTCTTGAAACTAACTTGTAACTAGGTGTAAATATATTGACCCTTTTCTGTATACCTGAATGATTTTCTGCCGTGGATAAATATAGATTGGTGTTGTTGTTATTTGTTGTTGTACCTTTACCGTTAAAAAATGGAGTAAGGGGTAAGGGCTTGGAACTAGGGGCGGATTCTCCCCCTATAGAGTCCCACGGGCTCGAAGGGGGGGGGGAGGGGGCGGAGGAACTGAACTTGAGCTTGACTGGTTAAATGGTTTAATTAATGATTCGCTATTTTAACGTATACGAAATTAACAAGAATGTTTCACTCCTTAAACTGACAAATAAGCGCAATATT